ATTAACAACAGCTTGCAATGTGTTAAAGTGCCTTAAGTGCAGGCATATCAAACGCCCCAAAAGCGTTTCGTTTTTTCCACTTCCATTCAATTCTAATAAAGTAGACAACACGAAGAAATCGTCATATAAAAAAAAAATACATAAAAAAATTTACTACTAAACATGCTTTTGCTTTTGCGCTCGGTTGCCGCTCGTCATTCCGAAGAAAATTATTCAATTAAATGTCAAATAAACGAGCAAATGACTGAGTGCTGGCCAAAGTGGTGGGGAGTGACAGCAACCATTTGAAATTCTAATTGAAAAATTATAGTGTTTGCTCGCTAGTGGACAAATCGAGGGTGAAAAAACCGCAGCAAGGTAGTGAACCTTCGCTGCAAGGGCACAAAAAGCATTTATTTAGGAAAAAAAAAATTTGAAAATAAAATATTTAAAAAAAAACTTATTAGGAAAAAATTATTTCGGAAAATAATAGCTACTGCATTTAGACGTCATTTATACAGTTTTATTAATTTTTTTTCCCTACTTCTCTAACTTGTTAAGTAAGTGCGGAAGTGCAGGCTGAAAAAGAATTTAACTAAAAAGCCATTATGCTCGCTGGATTTGTGTATTTGTTGTTGCGTGCGCACATACCCTAATTTTGTTCAGGTGCAATTTGTTTGCAGAAGCGTGAAGACAACTGCAACGTTGTGGTACTGGTTTAGGTTAGTCTGCGGATATCTTTTTTTTGTTGGCAAATTCGGAAAGTCGAATTGTCTGCGCTTACGTATTTGCTCAAATGAACAGAAAATGTGTTATCATAAGGCAGGTTGCGTGGCTGATATAAAATAATTGACTAAATAAAAAATTACTAATACTAAAATTTAAAAAAAATATTTGTTATTGATAATTTTTATAATGTGTAACAGTTTTGAAACAATAAATTTAAAAGAAATAATATTTTGAAAAATTATAATTTTTTTAAAGAAATAATATAGATTGACTAAATAAAAATTACCACAAATATATACTTTATAATTTTGTAAATATTATATTTCAGTTACCAAGAAAATTTAAAAAAATTACAATATATTTGATAACATTTTTTTTCTATTGTAGTTTTTGAAATAATTCTATTTCAATTATATATTTAGTTTTCATTAAAAAAATAATCAAATAAATGATCAATAATAATATTTTGCGCCAAAAACTTTTAACTTTTTTATTGCGGCCTACCCTATTAGTAATTGAAAATTTGTTCTTGTCAATTATGTATTTATTAATTTTTCACAAAAAAATTATCAATATTAATTTTTTACGCCAACAAGTTTTGAGTTTAGTGACAATTTTTATAAAACGTACTAACATGCTTTTAAAATAATTTTTTGTACACTACTGTACCTTTACGGAAAAGTAGTCGAAATAAATATATTTTATACAGTAAAAAGTAAGCTAGCGAAACCAAATAAGACTAATCTTAACAAAGAACTAAGGTAACTCAGTTCACTTCCCTCCGAAATATATATATGTACCTATAAGCAAGCATACACATACATACATATGCACATTTGAGTAGCTACCGCATTGTCAGACACAGCGGCAGGCACATTTTCAACGCAAATGACCATACATAATCCATCAATTGGGACCGAGCAAAGGGAACCAAAAATAAAAGTAACCAAACCATTTATTTTTTCAACTAAAGCAACCCAAGATAACACATGTAGCTGGCCATTTCAAGCTATTATCCCGAAATACAAAAGACCATGATAATTTTTAGGGCAGAAAGTAAATTTTTTCGTAGTTCATCGGTGAGCGAGGAATGCCATTCTTTGACTGTTTGCGCATGGATTATTGAAATTTGCTGTGAGCAAAGGATATTCAGGAACAAAAAAATTTACTTAAAAAAATATATATATCTTATTCGTATGCATGTATGTATATACAGTGTATTGAGCATGTGTTGTGGCCGCGGTAAAGGTGTAAGAAAAAGAGCAGCGCGCAGTTGGTTAGTAAGCCAATATAGGGAAGTCAGCAAAGGCGAAGCAGAAACCGGCTGTGCGTTCAAGGCAGCTGTCTGCTGCTAATAGATTTTTATTCCCCAAAAATTATTCAAAACAAAAACGTTGATTTGCATACAAAAACAAAGTATATACAAAAGTATAAGATGTTGCCGCAACATGTTGCTAAACACTTCATTTACCTGCAGCGGCACTGAATTTGCTATGAATATGTCGACATATTTGTTTATTAATAAAGTGCCATGCATGTGGAGCTCAAAAAAGTAATAATAATAAATTAAAAAATTTTCGTATTGTAGCATTCATATGTGCACTCATAGACACCCAAATAAACCATTTATCATGTGACTGTAGTACAGCAACAAATACAGCCGGCAAAACAAGCGAACACGCGCACACACACACAGCTAAACGTCGAGTTGCACATGAAAAACAATGTGTCTTTACGGTAGAGCGGCAGAGTCAGCAGCAGCCGCAGCAGCGACGCTGGCGTCGGCAAACAGGCTCAACAGCCGGCCAATATAAATGTTGCTGAGTCCAGTTTTGTCTGCTGCTACTGCTTTTATTGAAGTTCAGTGTTGACACGCACAAATTGCCAGTGTGACAAGTCGAAAGCGCACAGTTGAAAGTGAGTCTCACGAGATACACAACAACAACCACAAAGAATAATAATAAATAATGTAGAATAACAAACGTATACAAATTGTAGATAGCCGTTAATATATTTAACGTTTTGACAGATATTGGTCAAAGTTATCATGGCGCCTCTGTTTGTGCATCTGTCACTTTTTGACAGTCAGTATTGTCATTATGACACAATTGTGGGTGCTTCAGCATGTTCGCGCTCTCTCGCTCTCGCTCTCTTACTTTCTTTCTCAACACTGTCATGTAGTTATAAGTAAAACAGATGAAAGTCAAAAGCAAACAGCTGATTCACCGTTTCTGACAGCTCACAAAAACTCGCTTGCTATGCGCTGATTTTCGATACTTTCTTATCATTTTGTTGTTGCATGCATATTATTACTGCCATAGCTTCGTAGTACGTTAAGTTTTGCAAATTTTTTGACAGCAGTTGTCAATTTTGATTAAGTCACATGACGCAGCTTTTCAGGCAGGCGTTTAAAAGGCGATCAGACGCAAACAGCACATGCAACAACAATTTTGAACACAATGCCGAGCTGCTATTTTATTAATAAATTTGGATCACAACAACTAAAACACCCGACAGCGCTGCCTATAAGTTGTCGAACGGCTCGCACAGGCTTGAGCGGCAACACTGCCACTTATTTGTTGTCTGTGTGTGTTGTCAGCGCTGACTAGTGTGTATCTCTTACGTATGCGCTGGTGTTTGTGTGTAGTGTTTTTGCGCTCTGAGATTTATTACGTTTTCGTGCAGCAATGACCCTCCTTTTTAGCGCTGTTGCTGTCACATACTTGTTGATTTCAATAAATTATTACCATTTATGCAAGTTTTTGGCGCTGCACACACACACACACACATTTCATTGCATATTTACTGTTTTTACGTGCTGCCAACTGACACAGTATTAAGTTGCTGTCTCACAGCACCCGCAATTCGCACGCCCCGCCACTAGAGATGTGTTTTAAAACAATAATTATTGTTGTTATTGTTGTTGCTCTTTCAGTGGTATAACGTAATTTATGTGGTGTGTGGCAACGTTGACGCTATAAAACAATTTAAAACAATTTAACCATTAATTCCGAGACAAACGTTTTAAGGTCAGCAACATGTTGCACTCAATTATAAATAGGTAAACGCTGTTGTTGTAGTTATGCAATAATGTTTTTACATATGTGAGTGTAGGTGTTCAATAAAGAAAAGTAAACTATTTATATACAACAAATTTTTTTTTTTAAATGCGTTCACTTTTAACAAGTTTCTTGAAATTAAATTTAAAAAAATATATTTGTCACAGCGCCTTAAAGTTGCCCCTCTTTATTAGAATTCCAAAAATTTTACCATTCCAAATATTAAATGCCTGCTCTTTCAACAACCACATTTGCAAAGAAAACATTGCACCACCAACAAAACACAAGCAACCAGCAACCGTTGCCACTAAGTAAAGACATTCCACGCACCAACGCCAATGCAGCTCATTATTTATACGCATTTATTGGTGCCACCATAGCGTGCAACATACCAAATCATGAACCTCCACCATCCCCCACTTTTTTCTGCCAGCTCATCCATCTCCCACGACACACTCTCCGCACTATAGATCTGCCATCAACGCGCCACTCTGCAGCACCAAGTCCCTTTAGACTTCAGCTCTAAAACTGTACACACACACCAATGTGCCGCCACCCCTAAATGACTTTTCAGCGTGTAATATTGCAGCGAGCATCCAGCGGAGTTGGGAACGCCAAGTTGCATATAACACACCCACCGGCCGGCGCGACCCACAACACAGTTCTCACCACACCGCATATACTTGTCGTTTGGTTAATAAATACACCACTTCATCTCCGGCTTTCCAAAAGTTACGCGAGCACTTTGCTGGCTTTGGCATTACACAGCTAAAAATGGCTGCCACTGATGCGTCGCTCGTTGCATGCTCTAATTAAAATGCATTACTTAGTACTTTGGCAACTTTCAGCTCAACTCATGCTAATTCGCCCACTGCTTGGATGCATTGAGAAAGAAAGTTGCAGCCATGGTGTTGCTATGTAGACTCCTATTTGTGTATGACTTGATTTGTTGTTGCTTAGTTTTGCCACACCATTAATGGCTTTTGATGGGCGTTGGTGGCCACACTTTTAGTACGCAGTGTTTTCATTACTCTGCGGTAATTAGTATAAACAAATGCGCTTTTTATTTGCGCTTTAAGTGCGTTACTCTTGATTTTATTTGAACGTAAATATATTTTTTATTCTCAGTATATATTTTCTAACCGATATATAGTATTTTTGAAAAATTTTTATGTTCTGTGTACTTCTTGCATATTCTAATGAGTTTTTTTTTCTTAATTTTTCTCTTTGCAGACATCCACTATTCCCGCTCTTGGCGCTAATATTTGAAAAATGTGAGCTGGCCACATGTACGCCCCGAGAACCCGGCGTGCAAGGTGGTGATGTCTGTTCGTCAGAATCATTCAATGAAGATATAGCAATGTTCAGCAAACAGGTAAGATATATACATATATATGATTCTAAGTGATCTTAAAGTAAGGTTACTGTTCGGAAATATTAAACTAATTATAGCAAGTTAAAATAGATAGATATTTTCATAAAATTTGAAACGAATCATTATCTCAAGCAATAATAGAATCTTCGTAGAAATTATTCAGATCGGAGCACTACAGCATATAGCTGCCATAAAAACTGAACGATCAGAATCAAGTGCTAGCATTGAAAACATTTTCATTTGACGAGATATATTCATGAAATTTTGAACGAATCATTATCTCAGGCAATAATGGAATCTCCGAAGAAATTGTTCAGATCATAGTGTCATACAAGCTGAATTATATTAGGGGTATTATAGCTTCGGTGCAACTGAAGTTAACATTTTTTCTTGTTTAAATTAAATAATATATTACCATATTGGAGAAATAGACTAAACGATTTCGAGTGCTTTCGTCAAGCTCTTAAGACTTATAAAACACTTATGTTTTTTAAATTAATAAAATGTAGAAAATTATACCTTAGACGATTTGGATTTTTTTGATCCAGTTCTTAAGTTTTAAAGATAAGATCTCTTTCAAAAATTCCGATACGTTGTATCTAAACCATCAATTTTCAATTTCGAAGTAATTACTAAACTTCATATTCAGAAAGCTGCGAAAAAATTTTAGCAGCTGCGAATTTTTTAGTGACAATTAGTGATTATTTGGGAATATATACCAGTCTAATTTGTGCATTTCATCTTTGAAATAATTTATTTTGAAGTTTCAAGTCACTTTAGGGTCAAAAAAAATTTCTTGATTTCAAATAATTTCATCGCTTAACCCATTCCATACATACTTTAGCTTTTTCCCCGACTTTGCTCAAAATGTGGTTTACAGTTTCCGATCCAATATTGAACCGAAACATGTGTGCCACATACTATTTCCTCGAATAAGCATACTTTCTTCGTTGTACTATAATTTCCACTTAAGAGCCGCCTGAGATTTCATTTCACTTTTACCAGAGAAAAGTTTTCGATTTCATTGCCATTACATATTAAATTTTCCGAAATATACACTACCCGCAATTTCACGTAGGCATAAATCTTTCTTGCTTACTTACTGAATGATGGATTATATGCGCTACACTTCGCTGCCTTACTAACTGACAAACTGACTGCCATGCCAGCCAGCGGATCCACTTGACTGGTAATTGGAGATTATTTTTCTAAAATCCAACACATGTGGCACACTCGTGTACTTGAGCGCGTACAAAACTGTTAAATGATCAGATTACCGAGGGTAAAATAATTAAATGAAAACAACAAGAGCAATACTACAAGTAGAACGGACGATGAGAGCGAAATTTCCACAAGCGGGAGGCAGCTGTAGCGTTCATTCAAAGTCCAAATCAAGCTGGGTTGCGCGCAGACGCCTTATGATTTCAATCATTTTGCCAAATCTACGCTGAGCTACTTGAGTTAAAACTCGGGGAATTAACAGACGAGCGCGAAAAGACATATGTATAAATAAGTATGCGTACATATGTATGTATGTACCTATAAAGTAGGGTTACTTAATTTAATTATTGGTTTCTTCAACATTTGGTTGTTTGGTTTAAGTTTAGCTGTTGTTGTTGTTGTGCACTTCCATGGCGTTGAAATAAAATGCTAAAGATGCACAATAAAAATATTATTTCAAAGGAAAGAAAACAATGTTGAGCGCAAACAGATGTGACAAATATGTGTGACCAGCAGCGGGCGGGTGATCGGGGGAGCGTGTGGTTGGTGGGAATGATGTTGGTTGCAGCAAATACTCAGCTATATATTGAAATGCGGTGACACATAGCCGAGTAGTCTGCTTGTCAGCAACGCCCTGCTGCCTGTAGTGGCAATGCCACTAATTGAGCGCATTTGTGCAACACAAAAAAAAAACCTAAAAATTAAGAAGAATTAAAAATAATTATGAATGTGAAACAAGCAAATCGAAAGGAAATACAAAGTCGACGAAAATTGAAAACACAAGTTGCCACTTCCTTTTACGCACCAGCAGCTGGAGGCGACGCAAATAAATCCCGAGCTGTTTTTGGCGACAGACATTCTAAAAAAAAAAAAGCAAAATTAGTGAAAAAATCACTACTTCAACCCTACAACACTTAGGCACTTCCTTTGGCAACGCGCAGAAGTGAGCGCGCATGTTTGCAACATTCCACCATATGTGTTTGTCATCAGTGCGCGATATTGGTGACTTCATAAAAACGCACTTGCTGCCTGCCACGCTGACATTTGAATAATTTACGATGGTTTAACATCAAAATTATGTCCACACTGTGCGGGCGAATGCGCTGAACGGCTTTATGATGGTGTTGAAGTGGATATTGCACATAATAGGGCTGCCGATAGCCAACCCAGAACTGGTTAAGCGCAACTATAGTTGCGGTTGATGACGATGATGAACCGTTCCAATGACTGACTGACTGTCGAACTCAATTCGACCTCCCATTCACTAAGCGGCATCTATGCGCGCACATTATTTCGGTATTATTGTTGTTTTTGGTTTTTTATTTATTTCACCGCAATATTACCCCAACTTACTAATGCCCCAACATACTAATGTAATGTATATATACATATTTATACATATGATTCTACTTTCCTCTTTCCGCGCACTTGCCGCCCATGTTGCAACTATTTTTGAGGCGCGTTCACTTCAAGTGTGCAATAAAAAAATTAAAACAAAAATTACAAAAACAATCTAAAAGGCATATATCAGCAGTATGATCGGCATCAACATCAGCGCGCTGGTGCGAGATCACATTAAAAACACCATCAACGCAGGCACCTCATCACATTATGATTGCTGTCTGTCTGCCCTTCTTTGCGTGCTGCGCCTGTTGTAGTTGCATGCCACATACATACATGTGTGTGGTATGTACATATAAATATATTTATGAAACACATGTGCTGTTGCGACAAAAATTCAAAAAGTCGAAAGTGGCGTTGCTCGGTGAGACAACGCTGTGGCAACCACGAAAGGAAGTTCAGTTTGCAGCAAAAACAAAAATTGTTATTTTGAAATTCTAAAAACCAATAAAAATGTTTAATATGCCAAATATGACATGTCAGTGCATTGAAATATTAATCAGAAAAATTATGTTTTTATTTAAGGCTCATTTGTACGCTTTTTGATGGCTTTGTTTCGCTACTGAGCCGTTGGTGCTTGAGCGCTGCTTGAATTGAGGATGCTGTGGAGCCAGTGTTGCATGTTGCGCACAAGCAAATTTATTTCATTTGCTTACAGAAGCGTTGTAGGCTTTCAAGGCCAGATAGTATTATGCTTTTAAAGCTAAAGAATATAAGTTTTTTTAATTAATATTGAAGTAATTAATTGCAGGACAATTTATGTTTTTTGTTACATTCGTACTCAACTATAAATATATTTCGTAGTAAATATTGTGGAAACAATTATATTAAGCGCTGTTTAGCATTATATTACGTCTTTTATTTAATTTTTATTAATCAAAATTATTATTAATTTTTAATAGTATTCTTTTTTAATTATATTAATTACTGAAAAACAATAATTTAACTCATTTCAACAAACAAACAAAAAAAATATATAAATATAAATTAAAATATAATATATGTGGCACTTACCATTTTTCTGTACGCGCAAATGTGTTTTTTTGCCTTCCCCCGCTCTTAAGTTGCACGAAAATCAGCGGCAACACACATGCAACATTTCCTCAATTGCAAAATTTTAATTCCGCACATAAACATCGGCATACAGATTTAGTAGCATAATTTTTCATATACTAATTTGTGCGCATTTCACAGACGCACACGCGCACAAACACACGTACCGCCACAAATTAATTTCCAACAACTGCTTAGTGCCACACTTAGTGATTTGCGCAAAAATAGCTCGGAAAAGTGTAATAAGTAGCGAGAATTCGAAAATAAATATAAGCATAGAATGGATTTTCGCAAACGATCAAGCAGTCTGCATGCGGTGATGTTTACATTGCGACCGCCAGAAGGCAGCGTGTGGCAGCAGCAACTTCATCAACATGCTTATCATGTCGATCATCATTCAAACGCGCGCCCAAAAGCATTTGTCTGTGTGTGTATATGTTTGTGCGTCAACAACGTCATGATTGTCAGCCGAATAGTTGTCTTCATCAATGCGCTTGCCGCTATACCGTGTGGCATCTGCCTTGCAGACTGTTGCTGCCACAAACAAGCAAATGACACTATTGCAACGCGCAAAATTGTAAAACAAAATTTAGATTTACAAAGTGATTTTTTCACTTTATTTATGTTGCCAAAAATAACGCCGACACAACATTAGTTGCTTACGCAGTTGTTGTTATTTGTGTTGCATTTTCTAAATTTTGCTTTGCTCTCTATGTACTCACTGCTGCTTTTGTTGTGTTTGTGTGCTCAATACTTTTGCTTTTCTAGCTTTTGGGTGTTTCAAAGTGCAATTATAGTTGTTGTTGTTAGTATTGTTGTTTTTGCTGCTCTTGATGTGCCTAAATTAGTTGCCGCAGCTGACTTTTGTAAACGTTTATTTTCGAAACACATATATTTTATTTAAGTGTGAAAGAAGAAGCAGCAAAAACAAAAGTAGCAAAACCAACAACAAAAACTTGAAATATTTGTAGGCAACGAGTATAGAGGTTAAACTTTGCTGTCGCGCTGGTTAGCGATGTTGCATGCTATGTATGTGTATCGAATGCCAGTTGTATGTGCTACTCTTAAACTTAAATAATCTTTTCTCTTTTAAATTATTTTTTTTTAGTTTTTTTTTTAGGTTTTTTGATTTTTTCTAGCTCTTGCTTTTGAAACAATTTTTGTTTTGTTTTAATCGTGTGAGTGCCGCATTTCTTAGAAGTGGGGGTAAAATGGTTGTTTGGTGTGAACAATTTTTCAGGCTCAGCGCTTACCGCGTGTGAGTAAGTGAGTGTGAGGCGCAACACAGAGTGTGCGTCTGTATTGTGGCAAATAGGCGTATTAAC